TAATAATCAGATACATACAGATTAGAGATGCATGTGCCAACATCCCAGTGTCAGTAGCAAAAACAATGAGTCTTTCAGCAAGGAACAATATATTCTAAAATGAAATGGAGATCTTTTTTAAAGGTTAAAAACTCATTCAATTTTATGTCTTACAGGGCTTATACTGAGTTCAATATTGTATAACTGTATTAATTTAACTGTGAGCCTAGAAACTTACAGCCACTTGTGAAAGAGACATGCTCTTGCTCTGGAGTGTGTTACTGAATATGTTAAAGCTATAGTGAAATGCTTCTAATCATGTAGTTATTAAAAAAAAATTTTTTAAAGCCCCAAACAACAAAGCCACTGATTATTCTTATGCTTGAAGAGTTTTCTTACCCTCTTTCAGTGGTTGCTCAAGTGCTCACTACAGAGATTTCAGTGACATGGTTTTGCGTAACCTTTTACGTTACAGGTGTTTCAAGCTAACAATGATGCAACGGAGGTGGTTCTAAATAAGCTCCACACACCGCTGCTGACAAGGTTCATCCGGATCCGCCCTCAGACCTGGCACTTGGGTATTGCCCTCCGGCTGGAGCTCTTTGGCTGCCGGGTCACAGGTGAGATGAGTCTCCAGTGACAGGGGAAGCAATTGCATCTTGGGCTTCTCCCCTCATTCTGAATGTACAAGACTATACCATGTGATTTCCCAAAAAGAATGGCTCAAAGACTCAACTCCTGCCAGACTTCATCTTTTCATTCATCCAATATGTTTTTACTGAGCTTATGCTATTTCCACTGGTTAAAATTTACTGACAGCTAATTTGATGCCAGGTGCCAGCCTCACCAAAAGTGTGTTATCTTTTATTATTCTGATATGAACTCAATGGCATAGGTGGCACTGTTCTCCTTACTTTATAGACAAGGAAACCAAGAGTTAAAGGCCACCAGTCAGTAAGTGGAGGAGCCAGGGTTTGAACTGAGCTAGATCTGGCACTACGAATACCATGGAAGCACAGCAGATCCCTGTTCTGTGTGGCCATGTGGACAAGTTAGATAAACAAATTAATAATGGGCAAGATCATAAACAAATGTAGTCAAAACTCTGATGAATATCTAGAAATGGTGGCTTGTGGATCCTGGAAGTATATTATAGAAACGAAGGCTGATTAGCAAGTATTTAGTTAAGACTTATTCTCTGGAAGACTGAAAGGAAAATACCCATGCATCGGAAAAAAAGTGGTAGTCCAGAAAATATTTTTAATCTGCAATTAGGTTTGCAAGCATTGAGGATACACTTGCTATAGACCCTGCCTGGCCTGAACCATGGTTCATACATCCCACTGACTGTGTACAAGGCCCCACACTGGGACCACAGATAGAGCAGTGAACAGGTTGAGGTCTCTAGTGTCAAAGAACTTTGAAACTAGTGGACAAGATAAATAGCAATCGAATGGAAGTATGCATAATTATAAGCCCATGTGAATGTGAAGGGGAAGTACAAGGTGCCCTCAGGATAGACTGAGGGGACCTATACACTGTAGATTGAAAGTCCAGGAAGAACCACTCTGACAATGTGACCCTTATACTTTTTATGGTGATGACTGAGGGAAGCGCATTTCAGGTGGTGGGAACAGCATATAGAAAGGACTCAAGGCAGTAAAGAGCTGTGGTTTTTCACATGTGGAAGATTTCATACTGACCCTAGGAAGTTTTCCTTCTTGTAGACAAAATGTCCCAGGAAATAATTCAATGCCTCCCCAGCTCAGCTGCACTGAGTCTTTGAGAGGGTCAGTGGAGAATGGTGTCATGGATGGATGTGCAGATACACATCCTCAGAAGCCTTGGTCAGAGCCGTAAATACAGATGCCTAAGAGCCATTATGCTTATATACACTAGGTACTGTTCTAAGGGTTACTCTAAAGTAAATAACAGAGTCCTTACCACAACCCCCAAGAATAGGCACTGCTAGTACCTCCTCTTAAGACCTGGTGAACCTGAGGCATTGGAGCAACTAAATAATTTCACCAAAGTCATCAAGTTAATAAGTTGCATAGTGAACATGAACCCAGGAATTCTGGGTCCAAGCTCAGACTCTGAGCCTCAGTGCGGCATAGCCTCAAAATGCGAAAATGAATAAATAATAAATAAATCGGCATTTGACCTAAAGATCTGCAAGCTGGTTAACGGGAGGTGGTCTATAGTTGATGAGTGCCAACCATGACCCCTTGTATTTTCCTTGCCTCTCTAGATGCTCCCTGCTCCAACATGCTGGGCATGCTCTCAGGCCTCATTGCCGATGCCCAGATCTCTGCCTCCTCCACCAGAGAGTACCTCTGGAGCCCCAGTGCTGCCCGCCTGGTTAGCAGCCGCTCAGGCTGGTTCCCTCGTATCCCTCAAGCCCAGCCAGGAGAGGAATGGCTTCAGGTGGACCTGGGGGCACCCAAGACAGTAAAAGGTGTCATCATCCAGGGAGCACGTGGAGGAGACAGCATCACTGCCATGGAAGCCAGGGCTTTTGTGCGCAAATTCAAAGTCTCCTACAGCCTAAACGGCAAGGACTGGGAGTACATCCAGGACCCCAGGACTCAGCAGGCAAAGGTAGGCATTCCTGGAAAACTCTAATGTCACCCCAACAGAGAAGTGAAGTGGGAGTTGGAGTGCTGATTTCCCATTTAAGAGACTGCTTTAAGCCAGGCCTAGTACTCGATAGCTAAGTTAGACTCCCTCTTAATCCCCATAACTTTTCTACAAGGTCAATCTTTTGATGACTCATGTTTTAGAGATGATGAACAGAGGCTTGACATTACAACCAGGGTTACACTATTGACCGAGGCTCGAGCCACGATTCAGAAACTAAAAGTCTGACTTTAAAACCCAGACCCCTAACCAGTCTTCAATATTGCCTGTTTAGGAAGTCCAACTCCCTTCACAACTTCTTTCAGATAAAGTTTCCTTAAAATGAGCCAGACATCCCAGGGGGATGTGGTTGTTGGAGGCCAAACTATAGAAAGTAGGGGTTTACTTCCAAAAATAACTTTCTGAATGTTGCTGCACTCCTTTGTACTTTCCTGGTCTTGATTGCTCAGGTCTTTCCTGCCTCTCACACTGAGGTTGGGAAGAAGAAAGATAAACTTACTCTTGGCCAGAAGTTGAGGCCAGCATAGTCCATCCCCTGCCATCAGAGAAGGGAAGTCTGGCCTTCAATCTAGCATGCAAGGAGCCCCAGGAAGAAAGGGCATCATGCCTCTCCTTCCCACCATCCCCTTCAGATTCATCTGCTGGTGGGCCAGGCTCTCTAGTACTCATTCCTAAGTCTCTCCATTGTCTGCAGAAGAGCAGGGCCCCTAACAAGCAAGGATACTGCCTGCCTATGATAAGCAGGCATTTGATTTCTGGATGCAGAGACTGGTGCTGAGTCGCAGGTTTTGCAATACTGATGTAAACTTCCAGCTCACAATTCCAGAGACTTAGAAAGGCTTAGAGCTTAGAAAGCAGAACTTTCAGTGAATGGAGCAGAAGCTGGACCACAGGTTTTCCTAGGGACAGCTGACCCTGGCTCTTCTTGGAAAAAGAAGTGATTTTGGCCAGAGTCAGAGATGGCCCTGCCCGAGGCAGTGCTGCCCCTTTTAGAGCTATGGATGCTGACTCCCCCTATAGAATGGCTGGCCCCCAAGCATTCCTGGAAACTAATCAGCCATAGTACTTAGACACCCGAACACCTGTCCTTCCCCTACATGAGGGGCTCCAAGGTGGCTCTAGGTTGGGTCCCCACCCAGCTGCAGCTTCTAGTAGCAGTTTTATGCATTAGGGATCTAAGTGAGGATTCTTTTGGTAAAATTTCTTCTGACAAACAAAGATTTGGGGCATCCCCAGGTCATCAATTTGTGACCAGAAGATGATGTTATTATCCTAAAGAGGGAGTAGTCATTTCCCTTCAGGCTCTCAATAAACAGAGAACTGTTGGTCATTGGAATCTAACTTTTTCTCTCTGTCTCTCCATGATGCTGGAGATTGGATAAGTTAGGGACACACTCATGCCAGGCAAGCGTTCCACAAGCCAAGCTCTATCCCCAGCCCTTTCAAGTGCTTTCTACATCTAGACCTCCAAGCATGAGAAAAAGAAGCTCCTTTTTCAATAACACAAGGACCCTAGACTGGTAGAGATGGATTGCTTTCCCTTATCTCTAAGGTCAGTTTAAAGTGCACTGAAAACCTAGATAAAACCTAGACATCCCTGACAATGGCCACTTTGATGCTCCCTGATTTCCATATTTCTAGGTCCCTCATGGATTTTCCAAATAAGCAAAGACCTTGGTCTGAAAATGAAGCTCACATGGACGGTAACATCTCATGAATCCACCACGAAGCTATCATCTGGGTTGGGATGGGTGTAGCAGGAAAGAAATGAGTGGGTAGAGGTTCCACATGAGGGCTGAGCAGTCTGTCTCTCCTTACAGCTATTTGAAGGGAACATGCACTATGACACCCCCGACTTCCGAAGGTTCGACCCGGTTCCTGCGCAGTATGTGCGGGTGTACCCAGAGAGGTGGTCACCAGCAGGCATTGGGATGAGGCTGGAGGTGCTGGGCTGTGACTGGACAGGTAAGGCTTCTTTCCTAAGTCTCACTCACTTGTGAACTTGTTAACTTGGGAAAGAGACATGGACAGCCAGCCCTGGTAAAGCTAAGAATCACTTAGCTACACCCTGTTGCCTGGCCCCTGTGGTGTTCTTGGCCCACCTCTGAGCCTGGGACACTCTCTTAAGGACTGCATTTTGCCCTTTGTAAAGGATCACTTCAGTTCTTTAACCTGAGTCTCTCAAAAGCAAATCATAACTACCCACCACCCATCCAAATTCAATTAGACCCCAGCTTTTCAGGCCAGAGCTGTAGCTGTTGATTTAGGAAAGAAAAACCCTCTCGTGATAATAAAGTAATCGGCTTATATCTGAATCTGGCCTCCAGATGGTCAGATGCTCAAAGACAGCCATTTTCATTTCGAAGCCACATCTGTAAAAGGCATTTATTTGCTCAGGAGGGATGCTGGTGCAGAGGCGCTGGCAGCAGCAGGACTTCTCCCAGTACGCAGCCATAGCCCTCCTCCTTCCTGCCCTACCAGGTGGCACAGGCCTGGGGCAGTGCCTCCAAGAATTCTTCCTGTGAGGGTGAGGCCCCAAGCTCACCCCCCCCTTGCTGTTTTTCAGGGGGAAGGCCATACCCCTCTGAGTCAGGCCTTACTTCGCCTCTGGCCACTGGCCCTGCTCCTTCTGCAAAGCTGGCACAGCCTGCCAAAATGAGCTTTAGGGAGCTACCCAGAGCTCAAGGCCCAACCCAGTGCCAGCAGGAGCCTCTAGCAGTCTGGGTTCTCCTGCCCCTCCCTACCAAGGCCCCAGGTATTCCCATTTTCCTGTCTGCCATACCTGTCACTGGTTCACCCAGCAGGACGGCATGAAGGATTAATAAGGGCATGTCAGAAAAGTGCTTTTGGCTCCCAGGGAGAAAAGTGCTGCCTGTGTGCAGGCTAGAGTGCATAGAGGTATCCTGTGGAGGTGTGCAGGATGGGAATGGGACCCAAGTTAACCTCTCTGACTTTGAAACTGAAGACAGTCCCATTGACTCCATCCTACTAGGACGACTCCTCCTCCTCTTTCTTGTGCTAGGGTGAGGCTGAGTTCCTCCGGAAGCCTAAATGTGTGTCACCGGTGTCTCACAGGTGCTGAAAACTCCACCTCAGACATAAGCTGGCTTCATTTACGTTAGACTTCAGGATTAGAGATGTAGGGGAGCCAGGAACTTCCAGACAGTGAATTCCAAACATGTTTGATCATGAGCCCCAATTTAAAATAAATCTCCATCAGAGTCCTTTTGATTAAGAAGCAAGCACGTACATGTATGCATATGAGGCACAGTATTTAGGAGAGGTGCTCGGATCGCAGAGACAGATTGCTAAATTCAGGTCCTGCACTGGCCATCACTGACTACAGAACGTGGGACGTGACTTCATCTCTTAATTGGAATGTGGGAATGACATTAGTCTATCTTAAAGTCCTATAACTGTTACAAGGATGACATAAAGTAATGAATATGAAATATTTAGATTGATGCCCAGCACCTAGCAAACCCATTATAGGCAAATGAAACTGAAGGAAAAGTTCACCAAGCAGTATTCATCTCTACCAGGTGAGTTCACTCTGAAATATAACAGCGCAGACTTTTACAAGTGCGGTCATGGCCCATTAAATTGATTTCACAACCTACCGATGAGTGTGACACATAGTTCAAAAACAAATTACAGAGCTAAGCCAATTCTAACCCCTTTCACAGACAGGGAAACTGAGCCCCAGAGATTGGAAGGTCACTCAGCTAGCTAGGGGCCTTTTTGTCCTTCTGTGTCATGCCTCTCTCAGGCTGGCCCTGCTTTATGACCAGCTAGACAGTTGCTAATGACCTCTACCTCTCAGTCCCAACCTGTCCCAAAGTGCACTGGTGATGGTTAGCAACAGGTTTCCCATTTCAAAGCCCAGCCTGGCTCTAGGAAGATCAGAGTTGAGGCGTGTTACCCTCTGCCCAGCCTCCTCCCCTTTGAAGTCTCTGACATCTGGTTTTAATTTTAGAGGAACGCTGCTGTTTGGTGGGCAGTTACCTCGGAGCATCCAGTACAAACAGTGGGCACAGAGGCCGTCTCCCATTTCTTCACTTCCATTCATACTCCCTGGCCTCTTGTCCCCTCACCAGCTCCCAATGACCCTGGATTTCACACTCTCTCCACCCACCAGCTGACCAGTTTTGCTGCCTAACACGCAAAAACTGTTCTAAAGTCATACCGCTTGTATTCCTGCTTTTCAAATTTCCATCTATGTCTGCAACTCCCCCTTGGTTCATTTCTACTTTCTCTCCCCAAAAAGCTAACAGAAAAACTGAAGGTGCTGGGCTGGGCGGAGCTGCTGCAGCAGCTAAATAATTTGACAGGACTGCTCTACCTGTTAGCCAGTTTGTTTACGTTTCAAATGATTACTTTTTGCCTTGCCACATAGTTTGCTTTACAATTGAGTTTGAGATTCAGTGTCACAGTGACAAATTTGAACTTACAGATTAGGACGCTTCGAGGTTATTTGCTATTTACTTTGAGCAAGAGGTAGGTAGACACAGCAGTGGAGAACATGAAAGGTTATGTGCGAAGTATTTAATACAGAAAGGCGGGAAGTCAACCGTGAAAAAGCTATTCAGCATATTTAGCAATTTCCTTCAGCTCCTGGCTTTATTAAATGGTATCCTGAAGGGTGCCTGACAAAGGTTCCTAATCACATACAATAGTTCGAAGAAGCGTGTATTTCTAGAAACAGGAGGAACAACACCCTCACCTCTTCGGAGTGTCCTGTTAGAGGGCAGCTCTAGGGTTGTACTCACCACCCTGCAATACACAGGCTTGAGCATCAGAGACTTCCAGAACCCTTCCCACCCCACCCAGGGCCTGAGTCATACCCCATTCATTCCTCAAATGGCTGATAAATGAATGGCTGGCATTAGCAAATAAATGAGCAAAGGAATGGATGAGTCACCCACCAGCCCAGGTGAAAGGACCACCTACAGCCAGGTTTGGCCTAACCCGTTTTTTTGTTTGTTTGTTTGTTTGTTTTGTTTTGTTTGTCTTCTTTTGTTTATGTGCTCCTTATTATAACATTTTGAATAAATTGTCCTCATTCCTGAACCCAGAGGCTTTTACATAGCGATGGTGGATTTCTCAGGGACAAGGGGATTCTAGAAGACCTGGCCAGACTAGGCCACCTCATCTCCTAGCCTCTGTTGGAACCAGTCATGGTTCCTTCTTTCTACTGAGCATGCAACATCCCCGCTGCCACCATCTCCACCACACCTGACTCTTTCCAGCCTTAGTCAGCTTCCCTGTTGAACAGTAGCTGAATCCTGGAGGTATTAGATTTGCCACACCCCTGGCCTGAAGGTGTGGCCCCACATTGCTTTCACTTAGTCTGAGTCCCTTTAAATCCATATTCCCATCTGTCCACTTTCTGTGAAACATGAACAAAGAGCCTGGAGTTCAATTTCCCAAGCTGCTATTTCACTTAGGGCTTTCGTGAAAAGTGCTTCTGATTATTTTATTGTTTGTAGGCCCCATAGTTCAGACCATTTTGTAGGGTAAGCTTTGATAAACATGTCTAACATAGGGAAAGTATGCTTGAGACAGCAGGAAGAAGCTGTGAGGTGTGCCAGCAGCCATCAGGGGACAGCACATGGGCCCATTTTCCACCTACGGAAATGTGCTTCAAAAAACACTGAGATTTTTCACACTGGTTCTGGTGGGCATCACTCATTTTGCTCATGTGCATTATCCACACATCTGTTTTAACAGAATACACAGATGTGGCTCAGCCCCACTTTGAGGTCAGCATTGCCACCTCCACCGTTTCCATGAGTGGCCTTTTGTGCTGACCCTGGGGTCTCCAGGATGGAGTCTGGAGCATGATCTGTGTCCATGTCTGCTGCCTCTCCGGAGTTCTAGACTATTCTCATTCAACTGAGACACTCCTCCTGGCTTTGCCAACAACACACAAAGGTGATTTCAAGGTTTTGTGCACCTCTGTGTGTCCTCCCTCCTCACAAGCTCACACCTAGAAAGAAGACTATCTTTGGCATCTTCCCCTGCTGGCTTGCAGCACAGTCTGCTGTAGCAGTCTCTCTCCTTCACTTCTCAGATTCAAAGCCCACAGTGGAGACACTGGGACCCACTGTAAAGAGCGAAGAAACCACTACCCCATATCCCATGGATGAGGATGCCACTGAATGTGGGGAAAACTGCAGCTTTGAAGACGGTAAGGATTGGGATGGACATCCTATGTCATCTGGGATGGCACGGCTGAGGCCAGTCAGAGTGAGAATTGGCCACTGACCAGGCAGGAACTTGGAGACCCCTGGGTAAGAGGTCCACGGAGGCTTTTACCATTCTAAAATCATTCAGATATTGTAACACTAGTATAGCCCTATAGGCACAAGTCCATTGCTAAGATAAGGGTGCCTTCGAAGAAAAGTCTCATGGCTGAGCCCTCACTGCCTTGTTTCAGTTAAAGAAACTCCATTTCCAGCCTTAGACTTCAGAGCAATGACAGGTTTCCCTAAGATGTGTCTCTGTGGTACAGTCACATGGAGATCAAGTGTCATTGGAGCAGTTTGATCCTAGACTGTGATAGCCGAGTTAATTCAACAGTTAATCAGGACTTAATGCATTGCTCCGTGTCTTGTACGAACAATGATTTAAGAAAGCATAGCAGGGCCGAGTCTACAAGACAGTGTGTCACATCGTCTGTGATTAAGCACAGAGCAGGAGCAAAGGCAAGAATGTGGAAAGGTGCCCTCGATAGTTCTTCGGAGCTCAGGGGACCCTTGTTTTCAGGTCTCTCTTCACATGGGAAATCTATATTTCCTCATTTTATCATCTAAATGTTTCTAAGTTAGACAAAAACAGTACTTGGCAGAGCCCAAAAGTAAGTTAAATTTTAAATTATACTGTTCAGGTTGCCACATAGTAGGACATTCCTGATAAACCACAAATTTTAAGAACACCTGGCATTTTTGGCGGGAATTTTAAGTTTGACAGCCTCAATTTACAGTAACCTACTGATCATTATTAAATGTTCATTAAACAAAATGAAGGAAGATTGGCAAGGAGACTTGAGAAAGGCCGTAAAGATGTAGGTACCTGGTGAAATCTGTGGAACTGCACACAGCCAGGGGGCAGCATGAGGAACTGCCCCAATGTTGTGAAAACTCCGAAACACAGCCACTAAGAAAAATGGGACAAAAGCCAAAAATAAATGCTGAAGTTGTGTGACTGAAAAATTATAATTTAATGCATATGCTTTGGAGAGCATGATTTTGTATATTGTGTGGGTGGGGGACACTATTGGTCAGGATTAGTAGACTACAGAATCCTGACATTTTTATGAACTTGTTTTAGTTTCATGAAGAGAAGTGGAGATTATTCCAAGACATGTCAAAAAAAATAGAGCACATAGGGAGTTAATATACGGTATTAGATTTACAGAGTTAGATCATTGGGGGCCAGGAGAAAGGGGATTCTATCTAACTGACAATCCAAAGGAAAACTTAAGGGTTCTGCTGCAAAATTTCAGAAGTTTATTTTTAATATAATTTTACCGTTTATAGTGGTTTGTTTGATTTGAGGTTTCTTTGAAACCTCCCTTCTCCTTTTTTGTAAAAGATCTTTTTGTGGAATTTGGTTCCTGAGATACAGTATGCGTATAAACATTAGAGAGGAATTATGGTATATTGAATTACCCTGTATTTTTGAATGGAAAAATAGACATGCAGAAATTGTGGCAAGAAAGGGGATGGTGAGGGCTAAGGACTGACTTTCCCAAGCCACAGGTTGGTGCTTCCATAATGGATTCCATGTGTTGCTTTTCCACTCCAGCTGACTTTGGCCAAGGGTGGGCAAACATTAAATGTTCTCTCTTGGGAAGGGGAGGCACAAGCAAGGGTTGCTGGCAATCTGCCTCCTGTTGCTGAGGTCAGCAGCGCCCTGTCCCCCTACACTCAAGCCTCTCCCAACCCATGGTGGGTTTCTGTTTCTGCTCATCTGCTGTTGCCTTTAGACAGCCTAACCCACATTCTGAACCTTCCCTATGGAAATTCCTCTCTGAGAACCTGGGAAGGGACGTGAAAAGGTCAAAGACCCCACTTCCTCCCTGCCACCAACATTCGCCAACACTTTTCCTCTGTCTCTGGCAAGGGTCCAAACTTGAGTTCCCAGTTCCTCTTTCCTCACTTCCACATCGCCCCCACTTAATTCCATACTTAGCTCATACTGGGTTTTTAGACCTGGGAAAAACCCAAAAGAAACCCCTTTGGTTCTGCCTTTGGGCTCAGGTAGGTAAACCTCCAAACAGACAGGATGAGCCACTATGTAGTCGCTTCATAGAGTTCCACAAAGAAAGCATTCCTTACCTGCCCTGGGATATCAGCCTTTAAAAACTCGACACAGTGGATTCCAGAGTAACTGGAATCATAGGCCTGAGCATATAAAAATACTTCTCATCTTGCTCAGCACTGACTTGAGCAACTCGTGATGTGGCCCTTTCATTTTCACCCCTAACATGTCAAATCTCTCACCTGACAACAATGCACTATCTCACCCTTCTGAAATAAGAGATGTGTCACAAAGTGGTAAAGGATGGCAAACAAGCCAGCCTTGTGCCTGAGGTCGTTTTCTTTGCATCGGCCAGAATCTCCGAGGCATTCAGGCCTCTCTGGGTACTAATGGGCTGCCCCATCACTTCTGAGAACCAAGCTGGCAGCAGATGAGATAATCCTTTTAGGGAGCCAGCCTTCCACTGAGGCACTAGGGAGACATCCTTCTCTGGCATTTAGGGAACAGCAATTTTCACATTTGTCTGCTCTCTGAGGTAGGCAGAGGAGACTGATTAGAGCCTGAAGCCATTTGGTGGCCTCATTTATAATTGCTTACTATGGGAACCATTGGCAGACTTGGCTTTCATGCCTGGGAAGGATGAGACCAAAGCCTGACCCGAAACCCAGTGATCGCCAAGATGAGCAAAATGAATAAGCAAAGGGGGCCCCTTCTGTCTCTACTCCCTACTCAGGCTTGCCAGCCATTGAAATAGCACTGCTGTGGCAGTGAAATAGCACTGCTGTGGCCGTTCACTGGACCCACTTCATTTGCCTGCCTTTTGGTTTTCTCCTCCTTTTAGACAAAGATTTGCAGCTCCCTTCAGGATTCAACTGCAACTTTGATTTCCCTGAAGAGTCCTGTGGTTGGATGTACGACCATGCCAAATGGCTCAGAAGCACCTGGACTAGCAGTACCAGCCCCGATGACGGGACGTTTCCAGGTAAGCCAGTTGCTGGATACTGTGAAAGACGGAAGGCCAGCCTGCACCATGGTTTTCAGTCCCTACTCTTTTGCAAGCTTCATAGCTTCCCACCACAGAGCAATTTTCTGTGCTTTGCCCACAAACCACCACAGTCTTTGCTCAAGATGTCACCACATACACTGACTGATTGGTTGGTGGTTCCCAGCCCCCTCATAGGATTACTGCATGGCTTAGAGGCCGCAAGGGAGAAAGAGAGGCCAAGATAAATGGAAGAAGCCGTTGGGAAGTTCTTAGGAGATGGGCAGAGTCTATCTGTGTCCTCCTGTTTCCCTAACCAGCACTGGCTGCCTCTTGTCAACTTCCAGCTAGGTATTGTTCCTAAAGCAGCTGATTGGGAAACCACTGACCTTGATTCTGACTTTTGCGGGTACTATGGCTTCTGGAACCATCCAAGGCAAAAGACTGAAATGCTGCCATGCCCAGGGTGTGACACACACAGGTGTTACACCCACCAGTATGATGCCCATGGGTATATCAAGCAACGTGCATGGCACTTGGCCTATAGAGGAGACTTGCTGCCACACCTTGAAATAGTTCTACACTACCCTTTGTCTTCAAAGAGCCCAATGTCAGAAGCCCATCCTGGCACTGTTAATAGAAACTGCCCTGAGCCCCTCTGAGCAAGAAGCAGAAATAATCCACTGGCCCTACTGTTACATGCTTTAACAGTGGCATTCTGGAAAGGGTTCAACAACAGGTTTTCCAAGGATCAGACCATAACCACAAACCTTTTGGTAAGGTGTGCCATTTTCAATGCTATAAATGCTCTTGCCACAGGCATAGGAGGCAGAATTGAGAAGTGTCGGGGAGGGGGGAGTATTTTCCATTGTTCAAATACACTGACATAACCCCAGAGCAAAGACATTAATACCCCCAGGCAAAAAGGTATTAAAATAATTAGGAAACATTGAGTGGGGGTATGTTCTAGTTTGCTTTTTATTGTGGTGCTAAAACACTGCCCAAAACCAACTTAGGGAGGAAAGGATTTGGAGGTTCCACATCATAGTCCATATTTGAGCCAAGTCAAGGCAGGAACTCAAGGCAGGAACTGAAGCAGAAACCAGGAAGGAATGCAACTTACTGACTTGTTCCCCTGGCCTGCGCTCAGCCTGATTTCTTATACAACTCAGGACTACCCGCCCAGGGGTGGCACCACCCGCATCACTCAACAATCAAGAAAATATTTCACAGACATAACCACAGGCCAATCAGTTAGAGGAAATTCACCAATTGAAGGCCCCTCTTCCCAAATACCTATAACAGGATATTTATTGCTTTCCTTTTTAAATATAATTTAACGTAATTTTCTGTAATTTAATTTTTAATAATGGTCACACTTAACTGGTTTACAAAATTCCAGAAATTTAACAAGTGGCCCTCACAAGCCAGTATACCTCAGTCCAACATGCTCTCATTAGCTTTCAGTTTTCCCACACCTCCCACCTGGACCTCAGATACCCACAAATAAGCATTTGAGAGGAAAGGGGCTAATTCTGGAAATTTAGCAGACCAAATGTTGCTGGTATGCACTGGAAAAAGTCTAGAAAATAAAAGGAGGAGGGGCTCCCCTCTCACTGGGTTCCTCAGAGCTACTGTGCTACCCTCTCACCCCAAATGTCAGTGGTAGCCCCTGTCCCCAAGAGCCAACAGTGGGACAGGCGCAAGGAGAGCACTTGGGGCTAGCCTCCTGCCACAGCCTGCACTTGCTTTCCCAGAGGGTCACAGCATCTGCTCTGAAGAAAAACATTTTCATATTTGAAGTGTTTATCTCTTCAGCATTTGAGTACTAGCTCAGAGAGATTTGTATCTGAGGATCACCACAGCCTCAGGCACAGGGGAGAACACTTAACCCAGTCCCAGCCTCAATCACCCTCCCCCTCTCACTCACTGCAATAATGTTTAATTAATATAATGAGCCTCCTGCATGTTGGGAAAAAATACTTATTTTTATAACCCAGCCTGGATTTTTCATTTCATTTCCTCTCCTTCGAGACTGGTTCCAATTAATTGGTGTTTTGTTTTGTTTTGTTTTCTTCCCAGCCCCCACCTTTATCTGAATGTAAGAAAGGTGAATGGGGTAATGGGATATATGTACATGTGTTTGTACATAGTGTCTGGGTGAATGTGTTTGTAGTCATGTGTGTGTCTCTGTGTGTGCATGTGCATGTGTGTGGTGTGTCAGAGGTGCAGCTTGGCCGAGGTCCTTTAAATAAAGGACTGTATGCATGGGTTCTCTATACCAAGAGAAGATTTATCAGTTTTTATCTGGGGTCCATTTTAGCCCCTCTAATAATTCTTGCAGATTTCTGCTGAGAATGTTTGAGGCCAGGCTACAAGGCCACCAGGAAGCAAGTAGCAGTTCTGGAAGCGCTCAAGTCACCTCCCCTTGGCCACGGCCTGTGCCACTGTTGCCCTTCACCCCCACCCCATTTGTCTAGACAGCAGTGTCACCTGAATGCTTGGTCAAGGGAATGCCTGGTCAGTCTCACCTGCTACTGGCTGGGAATCCTAGTCTTTGTCTTTCTTTCAGTTGATTCCTTATACCCTGCAGTTTGGGAGGGCTTTTCAGAGCAGGCTCATGAAGTGGGCAAAATTCCAACCTTTAACTGAATGTATGGGAACAGAAAGAAAATTAGGGCCATAAGGAGCTGCTAGATCTAATGTTGTTTTTCCCTTAAGATTCTGAGAAGGAAAACAATTATTTTCCTCTTCCAGAGGAATCCCTGAAGTTTGGAAAAGTAGCACTTGTAACCTGCCCCTGGGAAACAAAATCACAGTACCGTTCTCAGAGCCCCTTCCCTTTGTCCTCTGATGATTTTAAAATCCACTTTCTCCATTTACCACTTTCTTTCTGCTTACAAAACTCAAAATTGGGCAGTAAGCAGAAGATAGAACGCCCTTTCTGTTCAGGGTGGCCCTTTCTTCTTCTTCAAAAAAGTTGGGGCCCCAAGGGATGCAGTTGGGAGAAAGCAGCTGTGCTTGGCTCAGAGCAGGACGAGTGCCAATGGAGGTGGAGGGGCTGTGCTGTCGTGTCAAACCTGAAAGCCACTGGGCACCCCACTTTGCTCTTCCACAAAGAGGAGACCATTGCACTATAGAAGAGAATCGTGCCAACATGCTTTATCCCCTCATTAGATGAATAAACAAAAATCATTGTATTTCAGAAAGAAGGTGTCTCCATCAAGCATTGATGGAATGGGAGTGAAAGGAAGGGTGGGGGAAAGGGAAGAAAAAGGGGAAAAGGGACACAGTACATGTATGGAACATATCACATGGCTTCAGTACATGTTGAAATACTATCCACAAGCAAGTTGATCACAAGTGTCCATAGAAACTACTTACATTGCTTAGATATTTTCTGATTGAGTTGTTTTCTTTCTTTTTTCTCCCCCTTTTAAGTCAGCAATTAGTTCTGTTCTTTTGGCTAGTGGTAATGGTTGCTCCAGGCTGACAAGACACCCACTGGTTTTATTCCACTGTTTTTGTTTTTCAACATCGTCCTTCAAGCCACTCAGAATTTCTTTTTTTAGCTCCTGTGGCTGAGCTGCCTGGAGTGTGTTCATACCAACCCCTGGGGACTCTGTTCCAAATTCAGTGACCCCTGGTGGTAGGGAGGAGCCTGCCCCCCTCTCTGACAATCCACTTTGCCTCTCCTCTGAAGCTACAAGGACAAAATGTCTACTTTGCAGAGCTGGCATATTGTCTGCAAACTCCAATGCTTTGATCATGGGCAGAATTCTGAGGATGATCAGAGTCAGGTCTGTAAGGAAGGACGCAAACATCCCTTGAGATGACAGAGTGGACCTAGATATCCAGAGCTCCAGTATTCAGCAAGAGCCCCAACCACATATAACCATTTCTATCTTTGTTTTACTGGATTAGAATTAATACAGCTAATGCTTCAGCTCTGTCGTTGCACTGGTGATAGTTCATGGACATAGTACATATATGGAACATAGCACATGGCTTCAGTACTTGTATGGAGCATATCACAGTGTTATATGTAAAGCTGAGAACAAGCTCCAGGCCCTTGCCAATGCCTTTGTTCCTGGGGTTGGTGAAAACCAAGGAGCAAGAAACTAAAGGGATGGATTCTGTGTGAGCCCATGCTGGAAGTTGAGTGGCTGATATTTTTATCTTCCTGTGTATGTCATTTTACCTCTCTGAGAAACTATAGTAAAATAAGCAAGGAGAATGGCATTGGGAACTATCTGGGGCCACTCAAGAGGAGTATCCTAAGGAAATGCTAAGTAATCCCAATAGTAATGAGAGCTATTATTCACAGACACATAATCCCAGCCATGTGGGGAATGACAGAGAACTGAAAGACCTGCCTGGGCCACAGAGTGAGTTTGAGACCAGCTGAGGCAACTCAGCACAGCCCTGTCTCAAAAGAAAAAGGGGAAAGGGATAAGGATGTAGCTTAGTGACAGAGTGCTTGCCTAGCATGTGTGAGCAAAGTGAGGTTCTAGGTTCAATCCGTAGCACCAAAAAGTACTTTTTAAAAATAGGTAAGAAGACCAGAGATGAACAGGACTCTGCCTGGTCAGCTTCTTAATCTTCCTGTGTGTGATGGTCCTGAACGTGTACTTTTTCTATGCATTGATTGACCTTGTGAAGTATGTAGACAGTATTCCCTCCATCAATAACTTCAAGCCATGAAAGTGATCTGAAGAAAACAGGCAAAGCCTACTTGGAATAGGACACTGTTGTAGAAGGATCAAGCTTTGCTCAGTTTAAATAAGGGATTGAGAAAGTAAGGCTTTTACTTTGGGTTCAAAAAAGAGGGAGTAAGCTAAGAATCTAAATATTCAGGTTTTACACATGTTGGCTGTTCCTTCAAATGTAAGTAGTAGACTTGTTAAATTCTGTTTGAGGCTATTTTGATGCAGACACGGCTGCTGATTCACTGTGGATGTGTAGGGAAGAAGATGAAGTAAAGTGTGGCTGGGTGTGGT